CTCGAGGCTCAGAAGATGGGGGGAGGTTCCTTTTGTCCCTTTTCGGGGGGTTCCTTTAAGGGGTGGAGGGTTTAGGATTCTTTTACGGATTCCTTTCAAGGTTTAGGGCTTAGGGTTCCGTTAAGGGCTCCTTGAAGGATTGCTTTAGGTTCAGGGCTACGGTTTGGGGTCGAGGGCATGAGGGCTCTTTTTCGGGAGCCTAGTGCGGCTGATTCATGACTCCTACATGGCGCCTGTTCTGAGAAAAGAAGACCTCTTCTTTCAAGACTGGGGGCCTCCGGGTGCGAAGATAGTCTGGAGGTCATTGAGACCCTTTGGAGTGTTGTGGCATAGCTGAGAGGTTTCCATCCGGAACCCTCTGAGCCCAAACCCCTCCAGAAAACTTCTGAACTTCAAACAATTCTCAGAAGTGCGCCCGGAACTCCTCAGCCCAACCCATCAAAGCCATGGATGTCAACCTGAAAGCCTGAAGTTGTAGACTCTTTGCGCCGCAACCGAAGACGGGAGCCAAGGAATCTGTCGATACGGGCAACTTCGTGAGTGGGGTTGCCGGAGACCGATTACTATGTCTAGGGCCAGCGCCACTTAGGGCTGCAAGGATTTTCACAAAGGCACATCTTACGGCATGCAGTACCCCAACTGTAAGTTGCGCACGAACTCTCCTTATCACAAATCCTCCGAGTACATCTCTCAGTCCTGACACACAGATCCCACAACCCAAACCCCAAGAAAGCTCAAGCCGAGATGCAGCTCACGGCGCTGCTGCTGACACCAGCCTTCGTCCCGGCCTCAGATGCGTCTTAGGCCTCACAGGCCCACAGGTCACTGTATGTTGGGTTTCACGAGCTTTCCCACATCGTCCAAGGCTATCCAAGATCACCGAAAACTGCCACCTTGGAGCCCCCAATACCCTGCACCTGCGCGCACTTGCACCCGACAGCCCGAACTGACCCGAAACCGAGGATTTTGCCCGCCATGGGAAAGCGGCAGGCCGAAAAGCAGGGCCGCAGCCCTGCGACCTCCGGATTTCGCAGCTTTCGGGGGTTTCTAGGGTTTTGGAAGGCTCCGATCTTGGTGCAACAACAAAGCAGATGCGGCCTCTTTCGGTCCCAAAGGATCCTGAAGCTCCAACGGTCACGCCTGATGCTTTCTGTCCCACCGCCGTGTTGGGATAGAGTCCGGTGGGACACTCGGGCCAGCCACCGGCGAAGAGCCAGAAGAGCTCGAGGGCGTGCGGGAACCCGAGCACGTGCGCGCCAACCGCTTTGCGGCAGCCGCATCTTTGTCGATAGAGTCAGCTTCACCGAGAGTGGGCCAAAGGTGAAAGTCGGAAGGAGCCTGTTGGTCCTTCACTGGGGCTGGGGCCGCTGCCCAGTCTTCTAGTGCCAGGAGCCCATTGGCCGGCTCGCTCCTAGAGAAATCCTCCAAGGCCATCAAAGCGCTGGTGCGTCGCCGGGACTGGTTCCAGCGCGGGTTGGCCTCACGCTCTGGGGACCACTTAGCCTGCACAGGGGTCCCTTCCGGCAACATGCTCGCTGAACGCACCGATAGCCAGAGGGCTGCCAGCTCCACCGACTCCGCACTTTGTATTACTTGGTCGGTCCTCTTGCCGCGCTTTACACTACCCCAGGAAGCATACACCACCTCCCACTTTGCTGCCCAAAAGAGACCGTCCCCACACAGCGGAATCCAGCGCATGTAGTTCTCCACCTCGGCAACAAGCCAAAGCACTCTGACAGATACTCTGTCTATGTCCCTTTGGGTTTGCTGGTCTTCCTGGCTGTCGGATGCTCTGCGTTAAACCAAAGCGCACACACGTAGAACCGGTGCGAAAGACAAACCGACAAGTACACACTACACGTACATAAGCAGGATACATATACACATGCATATACATATATATATATATATACATATATGTAAATATAAATATATATATATATATATATATATATATATTTATATACGTATATATATATATATATATATATGTATATGTATATACACGTAAATATGAAGCTATTTCTTGAATTTTCCATGTCTCCGTTGGTCTATATGCATTGTTATAGTTTGTGGTTACATGCATAGGGTTATTCATGTGTGTATTTGTGTGTGTGTGTGTGTATGTATATATATATATATATATATATGCATAGAGGTGAATATATGTAGTAGCATATACGCATATCCACATGTAGAGAGAGAGAGAGAACACACAGAAAGACAGAGAGACAGAGAGAAGACGGAGAGAAGGCAGAGAGAAGAGAGAGAGACTAGCGAGAGAGCGACAGAGAGAGAAAAAGAGAGCGGAGAGGGGGAGAGAGAGAGAGAGATAGAGATAGAGAAATAAAGAGAGAGAGAGAGAGAGCCGAAAGTGGGAGAGCGAGAGAGCGAGAAAGCGAAAGAGAGAGACAGACAAAAAGACAGGGAGCGCGAGAGAGACAGACAGTCAGACAGGGAGAGAGACAGCCAGACAGAGAGACAGAGAGCGAGACCGGCAGAGAGAGAGACAGACGGTGAGACAGAGAGTGAGACCGACAGAGAGAGAGATAGAAAGAGAGAGAGAGAGTGACAAAGAGAGAGAGAGAGAGAGACAGAGAGCGAGACCGAGAGCGAGACGGAGAGAGGAGAGCCAGAAAGAGAGAGAGTAGGCAAACAGAGCCAGACACAGATAGCGAGCGGGAGCGAGCGAGCGAGAAGGAAGAGACACTCACAGAAAGGAGTCAGGAGAGACACCACGGAGCGACGCAAGGCAGCAGTGTGCGTATCTAGGACACATGCTAACTCTACCACAATCTTTCGTCTCTCCGCCTTGTGGTGCAAACTGTCCCGGTGCAAGTAGACCCCAGGACAGCCGGCAAGCATTCGGTCACCTGGGCGTGCAGGCTTTTGCAACCCTTGCCCTTGCTATCTAGGCCCATCTCTTGTTCGTCATCGTAATCCCGTAGAAACATCTGGACCTATATGCTTCCTTAGGCCATCATTCCCAGCTTGACTCGTTGAAAACTACCGTTGGTAGTCCTCCTGTCACACTTAAAGGGAATCCTGAGCACTGTATAGACTGCAGAAGACATGTGTAAGGATTTTGGGTGGCTTTTATGCAGGTTCGAAAAGGGGCTAGAGGGGATTCAAAAGGGTTTCTTAAGTATCTTATGAATATGAAACCGTACACGCTGTTGAAAGGAACCTTTGTAAAGGGTCTTGCAAGGGCTCAAGCAAAGGTCCTAAATTGAGCTTGTGCAGGTTAAGCCTTTTGCAAGGACATTCTGCGCTTTTCCATGTGTTCCACACGATAAAGTGTGCAACAAAACGTTATCAAAGTGCTTTGAAGATGTCATGTGCATTTGGTGCTCCCATCATGGCGAGTTTGCGTGCTTCCCTCCTCACAGCGATTGAAGGCAACACAACGGAAACTAGGGATGTGTGCTGTTCCTCGAAGAAAGCTTGCGCGGCGTAAAATAGCTGAAAGAACCGGGGATGGCCTCCCGTTTGCAAACATGCGGCATGATGAACGGATTCACGATGTGTCTCTTGCCGTCAGGCTTGCACGGCTCAAAAGACGGGGGGCGGCCCCAAGTTGACACGCTAACATGATGCTTGTATGACGTGTTCTGAAATGATTCACAGCCCGTCTCTTGATGGCATTCCTGTTTGAGTTGAAACGGCAGAATTTGTGGCATCCCTCTCGGGTGGGTGCCTACTGCGCGGAGGCAACCCACGAAGAAGAATAGCCGAGGGTAAGGGGGAATGGGGGTGGGTTGGAAGGTATCTATCGCGTGCAAAAGGATCCCCTCTTGCGGGGTACCTCCAGGAGGTGCCCAGCGCAGGTAATCCGCGGAGAGGTATTGAAAGAGGAAGCAACATCCCACATCCTATATCGCTGACAGGTACCTGACCCGCGGAGGTAGCTGACGCGCAAAGCAAAGGATCGAGGTGGGGGTGAGTGACGGGGGCATCCCACACACGCGAAAGGATTCCCTCTTGCAGAGTACCGCCTGGAGTACCCCATGCAGGTAACTCCGAAGTATTGAAAGAGCAAGCAACATCCTAGTTGACGGATGCCGAGGCCGCAGAGGTACCGACACGCAGGCTGGGGATGCTGGGGTACATAATAGTATGTGGGTGGCACAGAGCCCCTCACTTGCAATTTGCATTGTAGTTCTCAGATTGTTTCACAACTTTTTTGATGGCATGCTGTTCAAGTTTGCACGGATTGCAAAAGCGAGGCACTTCGAGAGCGAACATGAGTGTGTGACGGTTCCAGAAATGATTTCAAGCGTGTCTCCTGATGGCATGCTCTTCTTTGCGCAGCTCCAGCCCCGATTGCATGTAAACACGATGATTATATAATGGGTTCTGGCAGGATTCACAGCATGTCTCTTGATCGCATGCTGTTAATTGAAACGAGCTTGCACGGATCAAAACGAGGCATGTGGGCTGGGCAGTTGGAAGTGGCAGGGTCGTGTTTTGCGGCAAGCTGTGGAATTCCAGCACAATTGTTTTCTAAGCTGTGGTGTGGCCAGGTTCTTGGAAATCTACATACACTGTGAGTAGAGCAGGTAAATGGCTGTGTACAATGTGGAATGACACCGTTACAAGATGGCAAAATGTTATAAACCATGCTATACTGGAAGATAGAGGGAAATAGAACATTAACAACGCAGAACGGAACCCAGTGTAGCAAGCTACAGACACTCTAGAAGACTTTAGCATTATATACAAATGTTACATCAGACAACGTATCACAAAAACTATTGATGATAGTGGCAGTAGCAAGCGGGAACGACAATGTTCGAATGACGGTGCCAGTAGCAACGACAATGCTTACGATGATGACGATGACGATTATGCCGTCGACGACCGTTCTTCAGCTGAGCTGCCCTTCGACTCGTCGCTGCTCGGGAAGAGCTCACCATGGTATATGATGGAGTAGAGAGCCTGGACAAGGTTGCAATAAAGGCTTTTTCGAGTTTGCAGGAGTGCACAAATTCGACGTCATGGCATTGTACACAGGATGTTTTGGAATGTTTGTCAGCGTGCATTGGGGTGCTGTCGGGCTTCTGAGGGCCCTGATGCAATGCTTCGGGCACCGTAAAGTCACAGTAGCCCCGAATGAGTTCTCGGAACCACGCTGCATGCGGTTGCTGGTGGTGGCAGCGGCACTTGTCTTTGCAGCTGGTATTGCCACTCCGGCGGCTGTTGCTTCTGTCTGTTGCCACCGCCCCTCCACCATTTCCCCTGTCCTCCTTGTCCCCTTGTTGCTCACGTTGCTGCTCTTCTTCTTGGCCTCTGCCACTTGACACGTTCGGACTACTGACTCTTGCCATCCGTGGAAGGGATCAGGCCTCCATCTTGCAGCCGTGCCAGCCGCGCTGCCAGCCGCCCTGGCGCAGCAGTTCCCGGTAGGTGTCCTCCATTGGCATCCACGGGATGCGCCACCAACCGTCACTGTACGGCGCCTCGGGAGGAGCGATAAAACCGGACAAACATGCACACTAGAACTAACAAACCCGTAACCGCTGTAACTGCAGCCCGGCAGCAGGTTCCCCCAGCAAGGACTCGAGCGACTTCCCATCTGGACCTTTCCGCGTCTCGAAGAAGCTCTTCAAAAAGCGATCCACGTCCGAACTGCATGCCGGAGAACTCCGCGGCTGTGGCAGCTGATACCTGGCAGTGGCCCCCCAGGCCAACACGCGGTCCGAGGATGTGGGCTCGGCTATATCGGCAAGGTTCCACTCGTAAGGGCCACCACGCGATGCGGGGTCGAAATCCGGGGCTGGCTTCCGTCCCGCTGCTGGCATCGCCTCTACTCCGCCTGTGAATTCCACGGGCCTGTGATGCGGAATAGGCTGCTGGAGGGGATCCGCTCCTCGTTGCCAGCGATTCCGTTTCTTGGGCGCTGTGTGGGGCTGTTGCTGCGTTTCGGTAGTGCTCGGTGGGGGAGCTGCGTTCCCTTCATTCAGAAGCGCATCTGCACACATGTCCAGGGATGCTGATCCTCTAACCAGCTTAACCTGCTGCAGCTCGTCTATCGAAGTGGCCTTGTGGGGCACGAGCTTCATGAAGGTCAGCAAGAGTGGACGTGCGCTGAGTGCAGCTTGGAGCTCCTCTGAGGAGCGCATCTCGCGCGTCAGCTTTCCGCTGACTCTCACGATGCTGTCAAAGTTTCGCAACCCCTTTTTCCCCGCCCAGCCACCGGGATGCACCTCGATGCCATCCTTCTGTGGAAAGTACGGACAATCGAAGTCCAGAGAACCTGTCTCGTCCGCTTTGACCTCACATTGAAGGAAAGAAGCAACAAGTGGCCTCTCCAGGGCCCCAATGACGCAGCCTTCTGAGAAGATCAGCCTGCAGATCTCGAAGCCGAAGTCGGCCTTGAGGGTGGGGAATTCATGCCCCCTCTTGCACTTTCTCTTCCCTTCAAACGTGATCGTCTTTCCCGAGCGAGTCGTGAATTCAACTGTGTGGCAAAGGTACATCTTGGTCTCACGAATAGGCTTGGAGCCATAGCCGCAAACTTTAAATATGCAGTCATCTTCATCGACCGAATGCCACTTGACTTTTCGCTTCTTGCAAGCATGATCATCACAGATGTCCATCCTCGCGCAGTCATCATCCAAGAGGCAACCTTTCCGTATGCCACCATCGAATTCGAAGATTAAGCCATGCACGACGTGACCGACTCCGGCCCCGATGCGCCTAAGCCGTCCTGGCTGCGCCTCAAGGTCTTCGGCCGTGGGCGGAGTCACCATGGCATCGAACGCAGATTGCCTCGAATTAGCCTCTTACCTTTGCCCGGCTGTGAAGTACAGTCAAGTACAAGTAGCTAGTGGCTTGTCAACATGCTGTGACAGACAGTTGCAAAGACACAGTGTCACAGCGTCTTGCACGACGGACTACAGCCAACACCGACATCAGCAGATGAAGGGAGAAGCTGTGCAAGCAAGACACCTGGCAAGAAAGGCTCAACCTTATGCCCCCAACCTTCCATCCTACCCTCCTCGCGTTGAAGGCAGGCGCTCAAACGGGCCTTGGGTGCAAAGGCGTGCCAGTAGTCCTGTGGCAACTGGTTAACTCTAAAAATGCAGCAACACTGAGCAGGAATAGACCTTTCTGGATCCATGGGATCCTGATGTCCCTGTTGTCCTATGCAGTCTCGCACTTTGAAACCCGATTAGCCTGAACCCTACGACTACTACTATCATTACCGTGAGCACAAGACTTCGACACGATATTCAGAACGCGTCAATCTCACTAGCTGCGTATTACCTACTCGTGTGTTGCTTTCGCCATGGTAAAACATGAAACGAAAAATGTAAAATAATAATATAATACAATATAACATAATCGTAAAGAAAAGAACAGAATAGAATAGAACAGAAAAAAGAACTAGAAGACAATAGAATGGAACAGAATAGAATACAGTAGGAAAAACAAGTAGAAAAGAATAGAACATAATAGAATGGGACATGAATTAATGTGGCTCAACTTCATGAAACAGAATGGATTAGACTAACATAGAACAGAATGGAATAGAATAGAATAGGAAATACTATGATATAACAACATATAGTAGAACATATACTCACATTATTAACCATATGTAGATGTCCACACAATATAACCATATGCGTGTATATGTGTATATATATATATACATATACAATATGTACATATGTATATATTCAGCACCACGTGTATGGTCGAAAGTTCCTGTCGCACGCCTTGTTCTGCAAGTCCCAGAAGATGTAGCCTCGGTGACCGCTGAGAGATGGGAGGTTCTGGGGCACAGATCCCGGTAAGTTGCGCTTCGGGTTGAACTCCTCTCTAGGCAAGCCTAGATTCGCGTGGTAGGGTATCCATTGCTGGTATACGGTACAGCATACTATGGTATACCATACAGTACCATTCGGTACAGTCAGGTATACTATTGGGCGACCTTCTTTTACCGATCCTCCCAGGACTGCTTTTAGGGACCGGAAAGAGGCGGGTCTACTCCGTGATCTTATGCAACCCTTCCCGGTTTTGGCTATGAAACTTACGGAAGGGATTGGGTCTGCGGCTTGCGACAGTCTCGCGGGTGGCTGCAGCGATCGAGTTAGGTGCGCCTGGAGTCGACCTGAGCCCCTGTAGCCCGGAGCTTCGAAGCCTCGGCCTATTCGAAGAAGAACCATCACCTCGATGAAGCCGCCAAGTTTCCGTTTGGTTGCCCTTCACCCTTTCTGCCCGAAAACACTCGGCCGCAAGTCCCAACACTACTCAACAAACACGGATGAACACAAGGTCGAACGCGAGCATACAAATGCACTGAACGGAACTCAGAATCAAGGTCACGGATTGTCGGATTGAGAACAATACCTTTCGGCCTTCTTGCTCGGGGTTCAAGGTAGGATTTTACGGCTTAGGTTTTGGCTTACGCTCCCGGCCAGGGCTGTTTGGAGTTGAGCCGATGGGGGAAAAAGTACAAACTTTGTGGGTTGGTCATAGTATGATTGGAACCCAGAGACAAAAGAGCAACAAAAAGTCGATCACTGAACAACCTAGTTAGACAGGCTGCCTTCTGAAGGAGCCCTTACCAGGCCTCAACGTACTAGGGAGAAGCCGAGGAAGGGGCGTGGGTCGGCATGCTGGATGTTCATCCACATGTTCAGGTTGTTGAAGACCACCTCGCACGGTTGAAAGGGAAAGAACGGGAGGGAAAAAACGGGTCTCTGGTTGTTCCGGGCGGCTCCCAAACAGCCCAAACCTTACAACGCTTCGATGTCTCAAAATCCTGAAACCGACTCTCGGGTTCTGCAGGGCTTGACTGCCCATCAACGAGTGCTCTTTCAAATTCGACCGTGTGAAAAACCCTTTGTTGACCGGACAGCAGTCTATCTGCAACAGAAGATGGAACCGCCTGACCTTCTCCCGCATTAAGGTGTGGTGACACAGGGCAGCATGTCTAGGGTGTAGGGTCAGGGGACTACGGTGCCTCCACGGTCTTGTACGGAAGGACCGTGCTGGAGTCATTCAAACCTTAGCACTCGCGGGCACTGACGGATCCAGGACTGAGAATAAGGTGATATTGTGACAGGGATGAATGCACTGGAGTTGTCAAGGATCACAGGCAGTGTCCACGATGCAGCGTTCAGCAAGTGCGATACATCGGTCTAGCCATGCTTGGCCAATAACTGAACTTAGTAGTCACGACTCCACGCGCTTCAGGAATTCCTGCATGCCTGCCTCAGTAGGAGAAAACTCACCAAAAACGCAACGAAACTCTGAACTTGAAGCCCTACAGTATTTGACGGGCGCTATCAGACATGCTGTCTCGTCTGGGGAACGGTCTCTATTTCCAATACTCTACGCTCGTATGGTCGGCTTTCGCAGCCCCTCCATCACCGGTACTTGGAACTGGCTTCGTGCTCTGGCTGCAAATGCTTCTGCGCCTGCACACTCCTGAGCACTACAAGGTTTGGGTACAGTTCTAGACACTCTTACCGTCGAGTATATCTGAAATCGCCTCGTTTCGTTTAGGCCACCGTCTGAATCCACCAACGACCACGGGTGCGATATCTCGGGCAGAAGCTCTCATCCAAGTAGGAGTTGTAGGCCTTGGGTGTGCACGGCTTCTAATCGTCCTTGTCTCGGCTTCGGGCTTAGTGCTCAGGAACGCCGAAGCTGAGTTCACAGTTAGGGATCAGGTTTGGGTTCAGGACTTTTGTAGCGGTCGGGGCCGGGCTTGGGTATTTCGCCTTTGTGCCTTCGACAACCCAAGCCCCGGAGGCCGAAGCCGCTCAGGGACCTAAGCTGCCTCCGGTAGCCCCAGAAAAGCCTGGAAACCTGCTGGAAGTAAGGTTCTTGAGATCGTGTAAACGGCTGAGGACCGACGGTGCTGTATGGTGCTGCATGCTGCTATTGAGCAACAATTTCTCAAGGTCACTTGTCTTCTAGGCAGCACCGGATGCGACCTGATGTGAATTCCAGTTGTTTGACTGCTTTGCAAACAAAGTGACATCTGTCTGACAGCAGGTGTATTGACACCAAATTCCCATGGAACCCTCCAATCCACGCAGCCGAGCAGTAATATGAGCCCCAAATCCCCAAACTCCTAAACGCAAACACCCCAAACCCGTACACCTCAAAACAAACTTCACGTGGGGGCGGTATCGAACTCTGGTAAGGGTTTGAGAGTCTTGGATTTGGTCTAGGGCGTGTCGGAAAGATTCGGGAAGGAGTCCCTACTCTGCTTCGGCTAAGTCTGCGAGGCGAGCTGGTTGACCGGGCTAGAGCATGCCTGGGTTCGTTACCAGACCAGACGTTGTGGCACTTGGAGATAAGATTTTTAGTTTAGAAGTATACTCGCCATGAGTCCCACTGCGAACTCTGACCTTTAGAGCTTATCTTCTGCTGAATGCAGAAACACGACGGAAGCCAATACACCATAACAACATTCCAGAATGTAACGTAATTTACAGAACGTCCGAATTTTGCAGGGAACTGCAGATTCAAGAATAGGAACGACTGCAGAAAAGCTCGTGCGACAATTGCGAAACTGTTATGCATCAAAACACAAGACCCAATCCCAACTCTGCACGATCCGAACAAAAACTTGTAACAGCGCTGCTCTTAAAAACCCTAAGGTGCCTCGAAATCGAACTTGTCGCGAACGTCGAACTCCACATCCTGGCCAAACTCAAGCTTTTCGGGTTTCGCGCATGGGGTTTAACGGGTTAGAGTTTGGGGCTTAAGGGCCCCCGGGGATTGTTTCTACGAGTAACAACGGAGATGCTGGAAGTCCGCAAGCGGGTTTTGAGTAGGATGGTTCACTTGTCGACAACGCTCCCTCCTGCGAGTGCACATTGCACATGACAGAACTCCAAGAGCCCTGAGTCTTTGGAATCTGCATCGATCTTGGTATTGGGGCAGCCGTTTGCGGCACTTCATGTCGCGGTTTGGGGCTAACGGGCCAAGGGTGTTCACAGAGATCTGCATCCTAAGCCTTAAAAGCGTTCAAGCCGTAAGCCCTAAGCTCCGAGCAGGGCACCTCCAGTTCATCGAGGTCGTTGAAGACGACCTCTGCGCACCTCGAGCCCCAAACTTCCAACACCCTTGCTTGAGGAAAGCTGAGCAATGCAGAAGTCAGTAGTCAGTTTAAGTCTGATCTTACGTTGCACGAAGGTTTGGGGCTGATTGGGGTACGTGACAAAATGATGCACTAACACGACCGGAGTATGAAAGGTTTCGTACCTTGACAGTCTAACACGTAAATTCTAAAGCCTTCGTAATCCCAGGTCGCGCACTCCTCCTTCATCCGCAAAGCCACAAAACAAACGGCAAGGCATCCAAGAAGGAGATTTTAGGGCTTCACGATCCCTCCGAACCATGAGATCCAAACACTACTCCTACTCCTTCTCCTACTCCTACTGCCCACTGTCGCCATTGCTTCAAGCGAAAAAGTTTGCTATGCTGGCCATATTCACTCTAGACATATTTTTCCATTCATGAACCCCAACCTTTTGAATGCAGCGCAGGGGGCCTGTAGCAAAGCAAGTGCCGCGTTCCAGCCTGTCCACCCAGCAACAATGGGAGTTCTGATGATCTTGGGCCGACGAAAGACGAAACATGACTCTGTCGGAATGTCAACCAGTGTCTGATGATACACATATACAAGTGAAGCGAGATTGTTGGGCTGCCCTTGCTTTTTCTCTGGGGAGGTCGACCCTTGAATTGCTGCGATCCCATCTGCGTATCCTGTCAGGGATCTCAGGGAAACACAGAAATCGCTCAAGCCTGAACCCGTAAACAGCCGAGCCTCAAAAAAGGCTGCACTGCGGGAGCTCGAGGCCAACTTGAGACCGTTATCCCACCACTAGCCCCGCAGCGGGAACATAGTAAACGACCCTTCAAGCATACGTTTGAATACCTTTGCCTGGACTTTGAAGTAACCATTAGAAAAAAGTATAGACTTTTACTTCATAGTGGCTCCTCTAAGGAACAGGTCCAACAAAACATGTTCAAGTATGGTACTCCAGAAGCCAGCTGCCTGAAAGAATGCGCCAAGAAGGCTACACCATAGTTCTCCTTCTACATTCCGCACTCCCTATGACACACGCATCACTGAGCCACCCGACTTCTTCGCAAGTCGGGCATTTGAAACCCCGGTAGAAATACCTGGGCAATGTCTTCGAGTTGGTTGAGGATTGCTGCCCCCATGCGGGTCCTCAAAATCGGCTTGGGGTAATGGAACCCAAGGCAAATTAATGCGCACTCTGTTGTGGACGACAGCTGTTCTTTTCGTCATGGGAGGCTATTCACAGTTCCTTGCTTCACGTCGAAAACAATGACCTGAAGCTTATCGATTCGGGGATGTGTCCTCCAACCTGAAGCTATTGCCTGCACCCTGCATCATGCGCAGGTACTGGAAATCCTGAACAAATCTATTCCCCCGGCCTTACTAAGTAGGATGGGGGTCAGCACTCCTCTACCCAGAAAAGCAAACAGAAGAGTCGAGGCGAGCGGCGCTCCCCCGACGAGGGCCCAGCAGGAAGAGCAGTGGGGATGCGGTGAGTTCTCAACTGCAGCAGAGCGCGAGGCCATTTAGGTTTCAGGGCTTGGGTCCAAATTTTCCAAATCCTGCGAAGGCTATCCAACAGCCGAAACCAATGGTCAACAAATAAGGACAATATCTGCCGTACTCCAGCCCTTTCAGCCTTTTCGAAAGCAGCTTCTGACTCGAAAGTCCTCTAAAATTGCCACCTTCCGACACCACAGCCTGCTTGGACCCATTGAAGAGCAACATCTGTCCATGCAACAAGAATAAGACATCCTTCACAGCGAGATCTCAGAATCAGAATATACACGCAGTGACATAGTTTGGACCAAAAGGTCACGACATGTGAAGACCTTCGATGCCTGAACCCTGAACCCGAAAGCCCTAAAACCTAAAAATCTAAAGCAGCATGCTCTGAAGAACACGCCTACGAATGCACTGGCACTCAACAAAAACATAATGTGACCGAATATTTCATGATAGCGCGGCTCTTAGCCGTACTTTACCTGTGTATGTACTGCTGCCACTACTCATTGTTGCTCCTCTGTTACCCCCTTCCCCCTTGCAATGACCTCGATCTTCGTCAGGTCGATCAGTGACTCCTCTTGCAAGAGGCGGATGAATTCGGAGGCGAAGGGGTTTATATAGGCTGCCTTTAAAGGTTCCTAAGGAGGCTATAGGCTTGCAGAAAGATTTTGTACGGCTTCGGGCTAAAAAGGCTTTGGGGATCTTCACATTGAACGTTTGGGGCGTCTAGGTGTTGGGGGATGTTGTGGCTAGTTGTCGCTTAGGAGTTCAGATGCACGGACTAGGGATTCGGGGTTTAGGGTCTGGGAGTTTATGCTACGGTGTGAGGCAAGACCTGCAACAGGTCCACATTCGCAGGACACTAAATCTCTCCTAACACCTCCTTCTGAGTGCCCCTTCTCACATTCACAGTACGTTCCAGGATCCTACCTGAACTGCGGCACGTGTGATGAGAAGCCCTAACCCGAACTTCTGAGCATCAAGCTGTAAACCGTCTGAAAAGTTCGAGAACTAATTTAGGATTTTGTTGTTTGTTGATTTTTCGCTCTTCTTCCCAAAGCAGCTGCAATTATGGCCAGGTGGACATTCTCCTCTGGGCTCGCGTTATTCACACTTTTCTTTACCTTTTACCCAAATCCACGCATCCTTTTATTTACAGCACATGGTGCTAGTCTACACAGGATGCTCGCTGCGCGAGCCCCAGCAATTGCGATTCTTCAGAAGCTTGAACCGATGTGAAGACGTTGTCACTTACGGCATAGTCGCGAATATGTTTCCAGCTGTCCATGTTCATCATATATCTTAAACACAAGCCCTCAGCTGGCGATTCCGGGTCATCATGTATCTTAAACACGCCCCCTCATTTGGCGCTGCTAAGCAGAAAGCTCATGGGGGCTTGCGATAGCGATTCCGGGTCATAATATATCGTAGACACCCTCTCATTCGGCAATTCCGGTTCATCGTATATGTCAAACACGCCCCCTCAATTTGCGATTCCGGTTCATCATATTTACATTTGTATATATATAGATATACAGAAAATAACACGTGTGTATATATATATATATATATCCTAAACACAGCCCCTCCTTTGGCGATTCCGGTTCCTCATATATCTTAAACACGCCCCCTCATTTGCC